AGGCAGTCACAGGTGTCATGCTGTGGGTGCCAGGGTGAGGCAGGGCCAGGTGGACAAGTGTATGAAAAAGGAGGAGGCTGGACAGAGTGGAGAAGAATCCTGGTAGGAGGAGAAAGTTGGGGGGTACATGGAAAGAAAGTTTTGTTGGCGATGTCGCCATACGTAATACAAATACACCTCCAGGGAAATGACAGTGTTTACTTCATTGAGAGTAGAAAACCATAAACTATCTTAAAATTGAGTCCCATTCAAACTAAGCTTATTTTTTAAACCCCTAGAAGTTATTTGGTACTTTTGTATGTATACATCAGTCTTGGGACAATTGACCAATTCCCTAATTGACCAATTCCCAGAGTTAGAAAATGTTCTGAAAAGAACTTTTCATTGTCTCTCTGTGACTACCGCAACCAAATAGAGCTGAGATGGCAAAGAGCCATAGCTGTACATTAACGTTTGTAAAGCTGTGTGCTTTGCGTGCTCTGCACACGTTGCTTGGAAGTGCAGTTCATCTGTAGCCTGAAATGTGTATTTCTCTCTGCAGAAGTCATAAGGACTCGGCTCCGGGAGGAGGGCACCAAGTACAAGTCTTTTGTCCAGACTGCTCGGCTGGTCTTCCGGGAAGAAGGCTACCTGGCCTTTTATAGAGGACTCTTTGCCCAGCTCATCCGGCAGATACCAAATACTGCCATTGTGTTGTCTACCTATGAGTTAATTGTGTACCTGTTAGAAGACCATGCTCAGTAACAGACCGGAAAATTGTGGTCTAGAAGAATAAAACTGAGAAACTCTGGAGAATTTTTTTTTTTTTCCATTGATGTGTAGAATGTTTGAGACCGAAACAGGAAAGGCCGTAGAATATCTGGCTTGTATCACCTGTTGGACATTTCCTTTTGGATTCATGCTTTCTGGAAGGTTTAAATTCATTAACGTTAACAGTTAATTATAACTTTTGGTTGTTTTTGTTTTGTTTCGTTTTAACTTAAGAGAATTCAGGATTAAGCAGCCAGTAAATTAAATCATGGTATTTAAGTATAAATTTGTTTTGTGTCCTCTTTTATGTCCGCCCATAGGGTAAACTGTAGCTAAGGACTTCAGTGAAGCATAAGCCTAGAAACGCAGAGAAAAACTATCAAGTCAAGGTACAGTTGTTTTCTAATCTGACTGTAAGATCCTGCACTGTGGGACAGGTAGGAAGTGTCACGTCTTGATGGCACAGGGCAGACCAGGACAGACTTCCCAGCTAGTCTCCAAAAACCTTCCACAGATTGATCATTTAAGCTTTCCGGCTGCTGAGTTTAAAAAAAATAAGTACAGCTTCCTGACACTAAGTATTTTAAACTATAAACCTTTTCCAGAAGTTATCCTCTATCCCCAGTTTGAACCAAAGGCAAGAGTTTTTTTGGTTTTGGGGGTTTTTTTTTGTTTTTGTTTTTTTTGCATTACGTGGGCCTCTCACTGTTGTGGCCTCTCGCGTTGCGGAGCACAGGCTCAGCGGCCACGGCTCACAGGCCCAGCCGCTCCACGGCATGTGGGATCCTCCCAGACCGGGGCACGAACCCGTGTCCCCTGCATCGGCAGGCGGACTCTCAACCACTGCGCCACCAGGGAACCTCAAAAGCAAGAGTTTTAAAGAATGATTTACCAATTACCTTGGCCCTGGATGTACTTCCCCCAGTTCAGCCTAGTCAAGCCCAGGTCCCTTGTGAGAGTGTCAGAGGGCAGCCTCCCGAGTCAGCTGTGAGTGTGGAACGTGGCGCGTCTGCAGCCCTGTTCTCGGGGCTCCACCACTGGAGGAGAGGGGCAGGGAGCACGGTTGACTGCCCACCCCTAGGGGAGTGTTCTTTTATTCTGACAGGAGGCATTGGTGTTGTTTAAATACCCTAGAATTTAAGGTTAAAAAGTTAAAATCCTAGAAATGAGAAATCACCAGAGTTTTAACCCCCCCCTCATTTTTAAAGGCAATTTAATAAAGGACAGAAAGATAATAAGACAGAAGGCAGGTAAGATAGATGGTCTTCCCATGAACTCTTTCACTGGAATTTGCATATACTATACATTAAGGTTATTTTTCAATCTGAATATCTAGAAAGATACTTGATTCTAATCACTGATGCACTGTCACTTCAGATTCAGTGGCAGATACTCTGGTAGGGATGAGGAGAGGTTATTTTCAAATTGAAATACAATTGAGTTTAATTCTCTTCACCTTTGGTCATAAAGGAGGTCGGTTGCTGTTTTTGAGCCCTCTAGCATAATTTGCTACAACTGTCAACACTAAATGGAAGTCAAAATAAATGACTTCAGTCAAACTTCAGTGATTCTACAATGCGTGACAGCAAAGATATTTCTATTCCAGAAGCTCATTTTAACTGTCTAATAGTGGCACTTAGCAACACCTTCCTATTTTAATGTTCATACAAAAGCCTGAATTTTTCCTCAAGATTTTATCTAATATGAAGGTCAAAAGTTAGGTTGCTTAATATTCACTAGTTGGGTATGAGAATTATTTGGAAATAATTTTCACTTATACATTCTTAAGGTAATAAGTCTGACATTAAGCTGGTATAATTTAGTTCTCTGCTTCTGCACCAGGGCATTGAAATGAAAGAAACGTTGAGTACCAGAAGTAGGAAGAGAACAAGCAGGAAGAAAGTGATGCTTCCTCTGTGAAGGGGCTTATTGGATTTTAAAGTGGCATATATCACTGAGCTGTTAATGGAAAAATCCCATGATTGATTTCTCTCTTTTCCACAAGCTTAGTCACTGACATTTCACCATTTTTCAGTAGTCATATGTATAAGATTTTTAAAACCCTCGTTGCTTACCCGTGTGTGCCGTGCACTGTGCAAGGTGTTACTTACTTTCTCATTTAAATTAATTCTGACAAACTTGTGAGGCACGTATTACCATCATGCACATTTTACAAATGAGACAGGCTCTGAGGCTTGCCTGGCTCGCCGGAGGTAAGTTGTAAACTGGACCAATCGTGGGTTTGTGCTGCTTGCTGAGTACATGAATGTAAGGTGGAAGGGGCATCCGAGCCTACGCAATGATCTGACTCTGAAGCTAAGGTCCAGCAAACCATTCCATTCAATTCACTTAAGGCTTACGATTCCACCCCAGTCAAGGTGAGCTTCTAGCCATGCCCAGGACAGAACTGTTGGGTGCATTCTTTGTCCACATAGATCACAGAGCCCTTCCTTTGAGTGGGACGTTCTGCAGACAATCTTCCTTGGAAAGAGAATGGTGCTTAAATACAACGCCTCACATTTTGAAGGGAAGCTTCACTGCTATTCATTCATTTGTGGTGAAAGCAGAAATGAAGCAAAGGAAAGCCTCTACTCTGACACTTAACTTACAAGAAAGTGGAGCGTCCAGGCAGACTCTCCTCACTGCCCAGGCTTCGTGCCCTGCTCCCTTGTCTGCAGTTCCTGGTGAAGGCACAGGACTAGGATGTGGGACAGATTAACCAGCAACAGGAAACAAACATTTGCTGCTAAATCACCCATCACTGTCCAGGACGGTAAGGATTCTAATGTTGACCTCAAAAAACACAAATAGTTGTGAAACACTGAAATAGATATTGCAGAATTAAATACAAATATTCCCAACTTGAGCTTTTTTTTTTAACTTATAAAAGTAATTTAGCACAAACCAATAATACTAAAGCACTTTCATGAAGTGAATCTTCACCCCCCCCGAGGTAGCTGTTTGCAGTTCAGTGTTAACCATCGTCTATTCCAATAAACATACACATAGGAGTTTATTCAAACTTAGGTATTATCAAAATTAATGTGCATGTTGCTTTTTTTTTTTAAGTGTTTCATCCCTCTAGGCCAATACCTATAGCTCTGACATTCTAATAGTTGAATTACGTTCCGTAGCATGGCTGTCCCATGATCTAGTTACCTTCCTCCCTATGGCGGGAGTGGGCGGGGTTCATGTTTCTGCAAACTAATTTTTTGACCATTGGAGTGGCTTCAGTGGAAGCGGCTTAAGAAGCTCCGACTTGCCGTAAAACAGCGTCGCGCGCATAGGCCCGGTTTGGCTAGGCGTTGGGAAGATAGGACTAGCCGGGGAAAGACTTATTAGCCCGGGATGCTGAAGTTGGGGCGCCGGGCTAGCGAAGCGGGAGCGGAGAAGGGCCGGGCTGGGCCCCGCGCCACCTACCCCCTCCGGCCGCGGGAGGGCGCGCTCTGGCCGGTAGGGCGACTTCCGCCGGCGCCCCGCCCACCAGGCTCGCCCCACGCTCCGGTTGGCTGCGCGGCGGGAGCGCGCCGAGTCAGGGGGCGGGCCCGCGCCGGCTACAAAGCGGCGAAGGTCACGGCGG